CCCCCCCCCCCAGTTTTTTTTATTTTTTATTTTTAGAATTCAATACTTTAAATGAAAAAACTCTACGAAATTTCATTAATTCTAATAAAAAATGACAACTAAGATTATTTAACGAATATGATAAACAATAAAAACTTTAGTTTACTAAATATATTTAAATAATTTAACTTTTAAAAATAAATTAATTAATTAAAAATTTTAATAACTATATTATTATCTCACTTAAAGGGGATTGTAAAATGAATTATAAAAATTTAAACTAGTATGTAAACAAGGTAATCGTCCTGCCCCCACTTCCCTCCCTACCCCGCCTTGAACCTGGAGCGTTGCCAACTCTATCTATTTTAAAAACCAACTTAACTCCACGGTCTTGTGGTCAGCCATCTTCAATGGTACACCAAATTTTGTATAAACATCAAATTTGATGTAAAACACTGCTCCAATGACACATATTTGGCATAGTTCATTATACCCATCTTCTATTACAACAAATTGTTGATTCTTCTACATCTTATTATTATTATTATTATAGAATTAATTGATTTGGATTTATTTATATTAAGTGATGATTATTTTTATTTAACATTTATTTTTAAAATCTAATCAAGTAATTAGTATTGATACAATAGATTAAAATTGTTCATTAAAAATCAAAAAGTAACAAATTTGACAATTAGAAATTAAGAATAAATTAACAATAGCACGATCCCACTTCACTTAATAGAACTTGAAAGGCTAGACTATAAGCCCACTCAAGATTACATTAAGATAGTATAGCATAGAAGGAAGATTAGAAAAGCAAGAAGAATTGGGGAGCCTAACCCGTGCGATCTTATGCTGTTTCCACCACCTCTCTACACCAACTCCGAAGGTGCACCCTTCATCAGAACCCCCCTTCCCCCAGTCATCAAATATCATTAAATACATACATGCGTAGTGGCCTGATTTTAGAGAAGCATAACTCCTTCCTTCGTATCCAGCTTGCTGTCAATCCTAATCTATTAGTCAAGACCGTCAAAATATTCACCAGAAGAACCAGACGTACTTTGAGATCCTTGACCTTGTTGGTGAGCTCTTTTTTGCAAAATTCTTGTTTGTTCATTTTGAAAAAACTTACGTAGAGTTGGATCCGATATGGAATTCAAATCCTTAAGTAAAATTTTATTTTCTTCTCTATATTCTGTTAAGGCCAATTTTTTTGACTCGTTTTGAGCTCTTAGCATTTGAATTTCAAAAATTTGTTGTCTATCATCGCTTTCCTTTCTGAAAATTTCAGCAGGTTGCCGATTTTCATCTTTAATCGTGTCAATAACCTTTTGATTTTCTTCATCATTTTTACTTTCTAATTTTGCTTTTTTCACCTCAATGGGTCGTTCAGTTGAAGCACCAACTACATTTTCTTCATTTATATTAAGACCAAATGAAGACGATCCCGGAGATATTGAAGTGGGAGACTTCGATTGTGATGATGCAAAGTTACCACTTTGCATTTGGAAGATTGATGTTGTTGTGTTAACATCGAGTCGAAATTTTTCAATATCTTTAAGAATAGGCCATATATGATCAAATTTGAATCCCTTCTTGTAATTCTTATCTTGTGCTAACAATGTTTTGGCTTGGTATAACTGCAAAATGATGTATATGTAATGTTAAAATTCTTGAAATATAATGTTACAATAAAAAATTACATATAATACTCACAATATCTTGTTCTGAAGCCCCGCTTGGATTCAGATTTTCAACTTGCCGAACACATCCCCTCAGTTTCCCAACTGCAGTGAGAATAACTTGCATTCGAGCCTGCAAGGATCTTTTAGGTCGAGGTTGACGGATAGAGTCTAGCTTCGTGTTGTTATAGTGATGATCAACTCGAGACCAGAATTGATCTTTTGATTGGTCAATACCCTTAATCGAATTTGTTGAAATATCAAGATATACATGACACAAGTGTAAGTCTTCTTCGTTTGTGTATGAAGAACTTCGTTTAGTTAAACCCATGGGAGGAGATTTTGGAGAAAATGAAGGTAAGATTAACTATTTCTTGTGAAGTGAAGATTTGGAGAGAGTTAAGGTAAGAGAAAATGAAGGTATAGTATGCTATTTTATAGAAGATGATGTTAAAATACTAATTTGTATGGTTGAGATTATGATGAAATGGTTGGAGAGATTACATCAAATTTGGTGTAGAAGTTACACCAAATTTGGTGTGACCAACTAATGCCCTTAGGTAACTGTGAGAGAGGTGTAAATGAGGTGGATAGAGGCAATGATAAGAAATTGGGTTAGTAGATATGGGCGATTTAGGGAGGGCACAATACGGTTCGACCTGGAGAACCACCAAGGGAGGCAGTGTCTAGCCTTTACGCTGGTGGCCATAGGCCAACTCCTACTTGTGTGCTGATGCGTCAGCTAAAGAGGGAGAATGTAGGCACTGTTATTGTTATTCTTGATGAGGTTGGGCAGCCAGCCATGGCGGCCTACACGTAGAGAATCGTTAGTTGAGGATTTTGAAGGTCTAACCATAAGAGAAGGGCTTCTATTGGCGGAAGATAATAGCTACCGGGTTGTTATGGTGGAATGTCACTCTCGAAGGAGGTTTAAAGTTAAGGGTGTAATGGGGTCGAGATGGTCGTCATCATTTTTATCCCATTGAGAATTTTTGGAAAGCAGGGCAGGGACGTAATGAAGATTGAACGCATTTCATTTATCGTCTATTTAACTATTTACTTTTTAATTATTTATTTTTCATGCGGGGAAAGTTGAAAACGTAGGGGAAAATAAAATAAAATGATTCAGGTCAAGTTCAGGAAATTTCTAATTGTTTGGTATCTTGAAATATTAGACATGGTTCTTGTTACTTCTCTTTTTGACAAGGGGAATAAAGTAGTTTCATGTGTTATTCTCGTTTTTTAATTGATTAAATTTATTGCAAGTGAATTGATTGGATGCTGCTTTTTATCACACCTCATACAAATTCACCTCAAAGTTAAGGTTTTAGTTTTGGTAATCTTGAGATTATTGCCATGTGAGTTATATATTTTTTTCTTTATGTCTAAATTCTAATAAAATTAGTTATTATAAATTCAATTCTTTGTCGATTTTGTGAGATATCTCTTCGTTTTAGTTTTACTGTAATTCTTGAAGAGTCATAAAAAAAAAAAAAAAAAAAAAAAGGATTATGATTTTATAAAATAAAGAATGTTGCTGCCTAAATTTCAGAATGGACGAACAAAAAAGTGACGGTTTAACATGAAAAATCATCAACACATTAGCTTCGTATTCTAATAATATTGAATTTAAATAAATCATCTCAACCAAACAAAACAGAGTGTTTGGGAAATATTTTTATATAAAAATGTATTTTTAAATAGTAAATTGATGGAAAATGTGTGGTTCAAAAATAAGGAAAATTTTTTGATTTACATGTAATATTATTTTAATAAAAAATATGTAGTTGAAAAGAAGAGAGAAAAAATTCATTTTAAAAAAAAAATAGGTACCAAACGGGCCCAAATCTGCTTCCCAACCCAACGAAGAATTGTCAGTTTAACAACTTTAGACATTAACATGAAATTTCTTCGAGATATCGATCGAAAAGTGAAAATAACTCGAGGCTATTTTCCGACCTATGAAATTAGCTTCATAACTTTACATCCATATACACTTCACAAAGAATGCCAAAATCCGACTTGGCTAGAGTTTTCCGAACTTTTCTTTCTCTTCCTCCAACTCTCTGAAGACATAATCAAGCTCTGGGAACAGTAACAAGAGCAGCATCTCAAGAAGATTAAAAGCTAGTTGCTTCATACAAACAGACGACTGTACAAGAAAAGTGAAAAGTTCATCCATTAGTTACCGCAAATATACACAATAAATCAATGCTAAGAATGATCACAATCTCCCTACCCCGTGAACCCTCATTTGCAATAAACTTGACGATGATTCCCTGAATATATTTGCATAACTGCATTCCACTGAGCAATACATTTTACTGAAAGATTTGATGAAATCAATTTTTTGCCTATTATGCCATGTTGGTTTTTGTATCTCTCCCTCTGCTAACTTTTTCTGTAGGAGTTAATAATTTATCCGAGATCAATTTCATCTCAACTTCTAGCATGTATTGATGGAATATTATAATTGATATTAGTATATTTAGTTTCCGATTTTAAAGTCTATTTTAGGAAACATAATTATGGTTAATTTTATGTTATTTCCTTGCTTAGAATAGGGTCTTTTGAAACCCTAAAAAAAGGGGTCTTATGAGATGTAATTGGGCAACTTTCGAATGAAGAAAATTTGATATTTTCTCCCTTATTTCCCTCTTCCTCTCCCCCTTCTTATCTCCTTTCCCCCTCCTTTCTCTTCTCTTCCCTTTTCCCTTCTCCTACAATTCTCCTATTACATTTGGCGTTATGTATCCTTATTTTTAATTTCACTCCATTATAGTATAACTATTTATCTATCTTAAAATTCTTGCTCCCTGTGTTCATCATACGTCATTTGTCCTCAGGCGATCCTTCACTTAATGTGATAATTTAAGAGTTGTTCTGTAATATTCCTTATTCACTTGATAGGTATCTTTCTGATGCTCTTTACTGAACTGACATTTTGTAATGCAACAATCCATTTTGTCCAACTTTGCATCCTTTTCCAAAATTCTGTCTTCAATATTCGACTTGCATAATTAGAAATATCCATTATTTTGAACAACGAGATTTTCTATTATAACCCCCCTGCCATTCTTATTTTATTGACTTATAAAAGAGCACTATCCCCAACAGCCAAATCTCTCACTACAATGAAAGAACGGAATTTAGGCTGAATCTATTTGTTCCATAACTAATCCTGTATATACAAGTATAATCCTATCTATAGGAGTAGGAGAAGGAAAAATCCTATTACTAAAAGGAAAAAATGTAATTCCTAGCTAGACTATTATAAGCAAGAGAGAAAATATTTCTACAATCTCCTATTCTAACTGGTTCCACCAGTGATTCATTCAAGTAGAAGACAAAAGAGAGGCTAAACTCACAATTTTATCTGAAATTTTTATTTCTGAAATAATAACACCGTGCTTAATCTATGAGGTCATCATTGGCTATTGTATCAATGAAAATTGGACAACAAAGTCTTGAATGATCAGATGCAGCTCGTCTAACAATAAATCTAGTTGGAATTATAGAGCCGTGACACAATCAATGTGTTTGTGTGCTGTATTTTTGCTCCGAGGATAATTGAACGTAAATGAGAATCACCTGAATGAAATAGTAGAGGTCCTTGGCACACTGTTCATATTCCTCGCGTCCAACAAGGCCTACAATAGGAGACGGTGCCTTTTCTGCAAAAGATTCTCATAAAAGTGATTAAAATCTTAGAGATTTTCCTTCCCACTTCTAAAGTACAGCAATAAGATAAAGCCTCGTTAGGCAAACAAATAACTATTACCAAGCATTAGTTCATATACAAATTTTGCTCTCTGTTCAGCTTCCTTCTGTTGCATCTTCTGCAATTCATCATTTTTTGGTGAAGAAAATAGAGAAGGTTGGTCCTGAGAAGATCCATGGGTTGGGCTTGCAGAAGGTGCAGGTCGCTGACGCTTTGGGTGCTTAGTTATGAATATTCCATTGGGCCAAAGTATCTAAGTGTACTATCCAGTCATTGGATTACCAATATCAGAAATCAATAATAAATTTTCTATAGAACATTCGAATTTTGTTATCCTTTCTAAATAGTCAAGTTTTGACAATTCACTCCTAGTTCCATAGCTCTAGAATTAGTAATTCAATTAACATTATAAACTCTTAAAATAATACTTGTGAGATAATCAGAAAGTTGAGTGAAAAGGCAGTCAACAAGATACGTGAAAAAGTGTGTATCTCAACTACCAGGCCATCAATGAGGATACCTGCTCCAACCGTCTGATCCCAGCAGCAACAACTGATCCCCGGCGCAGAAGCTGGATTTTCCCAATCAACCAATCATCAAAGGCATCTCCCATTCCCAATTGTAAAACTTGTTTAGCCACCCAGAAAGCCTTTCTCCTGAATTCACTCAAAGTTTATACGAGCCGAGATAGCCAGAGGTAATTAGATTAGAATATTAATATACAATCAACCTCCTTCAGATTAGTACGGTTGTTCATGAATAATACCTGATCCATCCACCATCTTTAAGCTGAAAAATGACATCAACTAAATCCAATATGGGAACACTTAGGTTTGGTGGCACCCACTGCATGAAGAAATAAAATTAGACAACCGTTATAGATCATAAACATGCAAAATTACAGACAGACCACAAGAACATGGAAGTAGGAAACGATGTGTCCATATCTGAATAAAAAATTCATCAAGCATTATCTATAACTGGATTCTGTTCCATTGTTGAACACAACAAAGAAAATACGCCAAGTAAATAGTGACTGTGACTTACATCACTAGGAAGGGCTAGATCAGCATCCATAGACCCAGATTCACATAAAGCTACCTTATCACTTTCTACACTTCTTTCCAATTTTCCAGTCAAAAGTGGGTTCTTTTGCTCCAGATTGTCAGAGTCACTACTGGAATCCTCAAAAGCCTTTTCAAATGCCTTTCCAGGCTTTTTTGGTGGAGAAACAGCTGAACCTTTTGTTTTGAATTTTGCCCCATCAACAGCATGACCACCCTTGATTAGTAATGCAGACTCTTTATTTTTATTACTCAAATTTTCTCTTTCAGAGGATAATGGATCATCTACTGGCCCTACGTTGTCCATATATTCTTTATAGGTTTCATGACCTGTGTCTTCCAGGTCAACTGAAATCCAAAAACCAGTTTGAAACTGTAAGAAACATAAAACTATTGTATAGACGAAAATCCACTGCTAAGATACAAATTTCACCTGAAAGAGTCTCAAGAATGGATAATGAATTTGAGAAAATATACATCTGCATTATTTCGAAAATCATAACTGTAAGTTCAAGATAAAACAGATATGAATATCAAACTTCAAGGACGGCAAAAAGGAGAACAAAATAAGTCGAACCTGAGAATCAACACTTAGAAAATCCCAGACTTCAATAGAGCAGGAAACAGTCGGCAGCTGCAGAAGCTTCTGCATAACAACTGCAGACTTCAATATAGCCCTATGCATGTATTTGTGTCATGGAGTGTAAAATAAGATGGTTCAATTCATAGAAAGTGGATTATTTTTCCAGCAGGTAAGCGGGCAACAGAACCCTTATATAACATCATTATTTTTAAACAATTAGTCCACAAAAACTGGAAACATTAAGGATCAGAAAAGCTAATATAAAGAAGCAACAGTAACATGTTAAGGGACCATTGCTCATAACAGAGCATGCTCTAGAATAAAGCAAAGGCCAAAGGACATCATGATAAGGGGGGAAATTGTAGAAATACTTCCCAAGCGAACTTCAAAGCAAAATGGATATTTGATTTTATGCTATAGCAAGAGCCAAACAAAATGACAAACTAAATCAAACTATAAAAGTCAAACTGTCCAGTGGTGTTAGATGTATGACCTTCAGATACTCGTCAAGCAATTTACAACGTTGTTGAATGATGGAAACATCTAGACCAGCTGATAGAAAATGCTTTGGTGGCAAGTGGAGATTATATTCAGAGAACTCTTTAAGGCGGTGATGTAATTCCTCAAAATGACTAAATCTGTCATCGTGAACAACCTAATTGGTTAGCAACATTCACTGTCATATTACATCATCTCACCATAGATACGAGTTAATAAAAAACTACAACGAAACAGCATATAAAGGGGCATTATAGCACGTGAAATA